TCGTGTTTTCAAGTTTTTAAGAAAATGTCACCAGAGTTTGGGGTTTTTTTTAGCAGAAGGTCACCTCTGTAACACTGGGAAGAACTTGTTACCCATATTTTACACTGTTACACTTTTTAAAAAGGACATAGTTGTATTTTTCAAACACAGAAGGAGAACAAATGTTTCTAATTGGACAAAAAGTACAAAAAAAGTATGAAAACTTTTTGTAGGTTTTTACAATAAAGGTGAAGAAAATAATATTTTCTATGAAAACATAACAAATCATGTTCTGCATGTGTGTGATGTAATCTACCAGCTGACAGATTTTTTGTCTTCACTTAACCACTAAAAAACAAAGTGATTTCACAATGCATGTCAGATCAGATCACAGAAATCCTTTAAAATAAACAGGATTAAATATATCATAGTGTGCTGTGAGATTTTAATTTGTCTCAAGACAAAAAATACAATTCAAAAGTTATATATTAAAGCTGCATTTAGTGATTTTTGGCCACTTGAGGAGCTGTCAGGCACACAGCTCTTATGAAGTGGCTCTTGCAAACAGTGGCTCATTTCCAGTTTCCACAGACACGGAGCAACATTATCGTCCCACTAAAGTCATGTTTGTGTCTACACAATGAATATAAATCTTTCAGCTCTGGTTCGGTCTCCAGCAACTCATCTTTAGCTGCTTAATGTCCTACTTTCTACACCAGCTGGTAAACTTCTCCATCTATCACTAACTCTGTCTGTCCTCTGGTGTTTGCTGGGAGTGTACAGTGAGCCTGTTTGCCTGCTGCTGTTGCTGGAAACGAAGCTGATGAAAGCAACTGAAGCCGACAGCAAATGTGCCGTTAAAACCAAAACAATGACCTAAAAGAGGCTGAAAGGCTCAGTAGAGCTGCAGAGTTAGTTAGGATTCTCTGTAGGTTCATCAGTTCCACTTTCATACAACATATTTGAGTCAATACTGATACAGAAAACACGTATTTGGTTTCATTACACAATCCAGGACGAGACTCTGTGTGTGTACGGTGGGGGGTGGTCAATGTGGCGACCTACAGGGGAGGGGAACTTCCCTACTTCCTTACCACCCCCCATCCCTACTACACACACACACACACACACACACACACACACACACACACACACACACAGCTGTAGAGAGGTGACATAACAGCAGTAAATCAGACCTGAAGCTTCCATCCACCCACAGCTCACAGCTCCATGATGTGGACACAAAAGCAGGAAAAAGAAAATTCCAGTAATGATGTCATTTTGTAGGCCAACCTGGAGTCCAGTTCCTCCTACTGAAGGTCCCTGCTGGGACTTCTGCTCCAGGGTTCAGATCAGATAAGAAAACTAGCAAGCAGCTGTGATATTCACATATTCTGGGGCAACTCCATCACTCACTCAGTAACTCAGTAAGTCACAGAGTTTAATGTTCGTAGCCAAAAACAGTATCAAGTTGGGGCCCCTTGGTTGTTGTAGTTAGTATAATATAAATGTGTCCATCCGAACTTTGTTATTTTTTCCCTCTCCTATTAATCATCTCACAACCCCTCTGATTTATCTGGTGACCCTTTGGAGGGGCCCGACCCCTAGGTTGGGAACCACGGGACTAAACTAGCTAACTGTATATAAAGTAGTTCCAAGTAGCTCCACCTCGAGCAGCTACGACAGTAAAACACTGCTCTAACTTTAAAGAATCAGTATTAACAATCTAATAATGTAGAATATTATATCAGTTAGAATACTTATTATTACTTTGGCACGTTAAGTAGAAAAAATACTTTTATACTTTTAAGTAAGATTTTAAAAGCAGGACTTTTACTTGTAACAGAGTATTTTTACAGAGTGGTTTTGGTATTTCTACTTAAAGGATCTGAATACTTCTTCCACCACTGCAACATAGTAAATCTATCAAGCTGTACTGTGAAAAAAGGGACAAATAAATAGCAGGACTAATCCATACAATAGTCCAGGAATGTTAGTTCACGTCACCTGACAAGTCTGTCCCAGGAAAATCACGCTATCGACCTCCAAGTTGATCTCCGTCTCAATTCAATTCATTTCAATTTGTTGTCATTATATTTGCATACAAGGAAACACTTTACTGGATAAAACTGAGACCTGCTGCCGATCTGGAACGTGGATTGTCAGGGATGTTTTTGTCTGTCCTGTGTGGTGGTTTCACCTTCTGTTAAACCAGAGTAATAAATACTTTCTCAATCACGTTTTGGGACTTGCTGCTCGTCTTTGTCTAAAAGCAAATGAAACATCTTTTTATTTTGGACTTTGTCGGACGTCACTTTGGGTTCTGGGAAGTTGTGATGGCAATTTCACTATTAAACAACATAAACAAAAACATTGTCTTGTTTAAGCTTCTTAAATGTGAGGATCGGCAACTTTCTGTTTTATATTTATTGTAAATGAATATCTTTGCATTGTGAGACATTTGAAGACCCCTGCAATGGGTGTTTTTCACTATATTTGACATTTTATAGACCAAACAATTGATAAATCCAGAAAATACTAGTCAGATGAATCGATATTGAAAATAATAATTAGCTACAGTCCTAATAGAGACAACTAGGTATAACAGCCACTTTCCAAGCAGCATCCTCTGACCATTGAAGGTTCTGGTTCCTCTAATGACCACTAGATGCCGGACTAAAATACACAGATGCATTGAAGTGAATGGGAAAAGCCCCAAATTCTCTCTTGGATAATGCAATCACACACAAAGTTCATCTCTCTAGATCACATCACTTCTTCATGTGAATTTAATTTAATAACTTTTCCATGAAATCAGAGTTGGGAGACATGTTCGCCATGACTGACGGGTCTCCCTCAACCTGCCAGGTTTACCTTCATGGTACACCAGGAGAACAGTCAGCAGCACTGACAAACAAACTGACCGCTCTGCTGCTCCTCCAACACAACACACAGCTGCGAAACAGGAAGTGAAGACTGCTGACACAGCAACACCAACCAGGAAGTGACATTCCCCCCCGTGAAAAAGACCTTTTCTCAGCCAGTGACAAGAGACGACAAGTGAAAGTATTGTTCGATTTCAACCTGCGGCCCTTTGCTGCATATCATCTCTCTCTCTCTCTCTCTCTCTCTCTCTCTCTCTCTCTCTCTCTCTCTCTCTCTCTCTCCTGCCTTACCTGTCTATATTATATATATATATATATATATACACACACACTTTGGTCCAAAGCAAAACATCTCAACAACCTACTGACTGGATGACGAGTCCCAACAATCAATCAATGAATTACTAAAAGGTTGGAGCTCAAATGAGACCATCATTGGGTTTTCCTCTCTGTGTCATCATGCCCTGCAGAAGAGGTGAACCTATTTGGTTTGTTGCAAAGAGTGTGTGTGAGCGACTGTGTGTGTGTGTGTGTGTGTGTGTGTGTGTGTGTGTGTGTGTGTGTGTGTGTGTGTGTGTGTGTGTGTTGGTGGAGGGCTGGGGAGATGCATTCAGTGCAGTAAAGCCAGGTGGTGCATTCAGTGCGAGCGGTAAAACCAGTAGATGCTGAGAGATAAAGAGGAGCTGAGAGCAGATGCCTGAACTACATGTGAAGGGTGAGAATCAGCAGGTTACAACCAAAACTCTGCGTCAATGTGAGTCCGAATCAAACAGATTCACATAATACAGATGTTTTGTATGGAAGCGAACTACATAGGGATGAGATGTCTAAGTCATATTGGCCTTTCAATAATTTGTCACTGCAACTGCAAAATGTAAAGGAAATGTGTTTCCCTGGAAAAAGTTATTAAAAAAATGATATATTTGCTTGCAGTGTTACTTTAGTAAACTTTGACCAAGTCAAATGATATCACCCATTGGTTAGTGGTGTACCATTCTGAAGCCTTGTGTTTGGCATTATGGCGGTTATCATTATGGTTGGGGTTTTGGTATGAGCAATAGTGACGTACTGCGAGTTGAACGGCACTCAGTTTGAACTTGCCTGTAGCAGGAAACAATAGCAGCTCACCTGGTCACACACATTGTTGTATTACAGATAAAAAGTATGCTAAAATATGTTTTTGAAAACATTTTAGTGACAAAAAAAAAAAAGCAATGCAGTAACAGAGTCTTGATTCATATTTGATCATAACTGCCTTGTGTCGGACAGTTTGGTAGCCAAACCCCGAAGCATACTCTGCTTTATGGTCCATTTTACAGTACATTTGACCATAATTTACTAAATTAACATCATGCTGCGTGGAAGAAGACATGAAACTAGTGACTGAGACCATAAACTCATTATGAAACTGTTTACTGAGCTCTGAAATCAAGAGAGAAGTTACGTCACTTTCTATTACATTACATGCAACAGGCTTCTTTTTGCTACCGATGGAGCTGCCCCCTGGTGGCCATTAGAAAGACAATAGGTATCTCTGCATTACCCCACCTCATTTCACAGATCCGAAAGCTCCGTCCGCTATTTATTCTACAGTCTATGACAAATTTCCACCATTCACCAAAAGTAAGCCGTCTTCACCGAGCAGAGTAAAGTACGAGAAATACATCTTTTTAGTAAACTGTGTGAACTTTTTGTCACGTTAGCTTTGTTTCCCCCGTTCTCTTTATCAAATTATATGATGCACAATCCTGACAACTAAATGCAAAGGACGATGTAAACCGCTCGAAACAGAGAGAAGAGCGAGAAGCACAAAGAGCGACTGTGACTAGCAGTAAGCTGGTTAGTAGTGCGTCAGCAGCTAGCTCGCCAGTTACAGTAGGTCCCTAACAAACCGCGCAATCGCATAAATTACGAGATCTTTAGAATTTTTCTCAGAATTATGAGAAAACGTTTCCATTTCTTTTATTCCCCCATTTTGGGTAAAAAAAAAAGAACTTTTTTTATAGGCCACTCCCACTGCCACACCCACTTTTTGCCCATAGGAATGAACACAAACACACACTTGACTGCCAGATTTCAGCCATACTAATAATACTAATAAGCAATGAGCCCCTGATGATCAGAGATTAATTTTACCTTCTGATCCACGATGGAGCAGACGAGCTCCCTCACAGCCGACAGGGAGTGGTCTCCGGGGTCGAGGGTGACCGTCTCCCTGGTGAGTCCGATCTGTAGCAGGAAGGAGACTCCGTGGATGGAGCCCCGTGAGTTTGTGCGACTGGGGGCCGTCTGGCTGCCATTGGACAACCGGCTACAGATGGTGGCGGGCGGGCTGGGGGACGGCGACGGGGTGGGTGGGGCCGCATGCTGATGGAGGGCGGAGAAAGCCCGCGGGGAGGCCGGCGGAGGGGGCAGCGGTGGGCTGTTTTCTGCCGACATTGGCTGCTATCTGTGACGTCTTCCAGGCAGGAGAAAGCCGTCGTAGGTGAACGACATCCAAAAAAATGTGTCCGACTGCTCCGGTTTGTCAGTCAGCCGAGCGTTTACGGTCGCCTCGTTTGCCTCGATTCACATGTCTCGCCACTTAAATCCTGCCAGGAAGGTTTCCTCTCACTGCCGGGCATCTCTGAGGTAGAAAGAAACCAAAAGAAAATATCTATTAAAGTTCAACTTTAAAAGAGTTTTATAACGCAGTCAGATCCTCAGGCCTCCTGCTGGGTGACACTGTGGATTGTGTTGTGAGCAGAAAAACAACCAACAAAACAGCAGATCTGTAGTTTCTCTTTGCTGTTTTCACTGGCTGCATCTGTTGAGAATCAAAAGACAGCACATTAAAGAATCACTTCCAAAGAAAATCTCTCCAGATCTATAAAATATGGTGAAACTTTAATAGAAATGTTGTACGGTAATTCTTCAAAATGCCGTCACTTCCCTTTAATATAATAATTAGTTTGTTATCCCAGTAATAACTTTTAAAATCACCAGGAGATAAAAGACGCCACACAATTAAATCTTTACAAATCCGCTGACACAAAAGGTCACAAGGTTCAAAGGAAGTGTCATGAAGTAAATATCACTCAACCCTAAAGTTTCTATTTGAAACACCTTTCTGTTAAATGAGATTCTGCTGAAGGAACCTGCTACCAAGAAATGGACAAATAATTATATATCTTCTCATAATTCAACTGGGTGAATGGACCCTTTAAACCACTAAAGGTAACACAAACAGGAAGGAGTGCCACGGTATATTAACTACTACTACTAATATTTAACAGCCTACACCAAGTCTGAGCTTACCTGGACCTACCCAGATCATTTAATTTGACCATTCTTTAACAAATTATTATATATTGGTCATAAATTAAAGATTACTGTTCAATAAAAAACATTAAAAGTTATTATAATGAACATAAATGTAACTTTTTCTACCCTGTGACTTTTAATACTTCTATAAACTTAATGATCCATATCACTGTTTGCTAGAGGAAGCACAAATGCAACACCAAAACATAATAATAACAATAATACATATAATAATAATGATAATCACACATGTATGTTCGCTCATTGTGGAGATATTAACGTAACTCAACTGCATGAAGTTTGCACATGAAGCAACAGGCTGTCGTCCCGCAGGTTGTTAATGAAAAGAGAAGTTAAAGGCACCGTTACCTCTGAGAGCAGGGCGGTTTTTCCGCTTCCATCGGCGCACAAAACAAGAAAACTGTGCGTTAAACTCCGGCGGCGGCTCGGACCGGCAATGCGGCTGAATCTAACGAGCCCGGTCCCGGTTCGCCCGCCGTGCTGCTGTCCTCCAGGGGCCTGGGAGGTGAAAGTGAAGGCAGGCAGGTTAAACCGACTTTTGTTTTTTTGTTGTTTTTTTTGTCTCGTTTTTCTCTGCAAAACTTCCCAGACGAGCAGCGGTCCAACCGAGCAGCTCTGGCTTCATGCGGATCTGATTAAGAGCCGCTACAAGCGCACAGAGACCCACTGCGGCTCACACCGGGAGGAGGAGCGACGGCAGGAGGTCTCACTCTGTCGGCTTTTATAGGGACCGGACAACCAAACTGAACCAGAGAGATAGAGGGAACAAATATGAATGTAAAAATAAAGATTTTTTGGGTACTTTTTGACTTTTTGAAACCTGTTTGGGCACCCCAAGTGCCACACCATTACCTTGCCTCTTCCACCCTGCACTGTCTTTCAGATGGTGCAGTGAGCGTTTTAAAGCCAGAGTAAATTAACCAACCACGACATGCTGGCCTGTTGGGAAGGGGAGCTAAATAACGCTCCAATTTTAGGCTACATTTTGTAGGTGGAAAAGCTGGCATGGTCATTTTCAAAGGGATCCCTTGACCTCTGACCTCAAGATGCCTGAATGTAAATGATTTATATGGATACTCACAAGTCTGCCCTCTTTGTGCTAATCTAATGCAGACTGGCGCAAAAACAATGCAGTTCTTTGCCTAGATTATGGTATAAAAGCCTTGTGTATTTGAATATTTCTACATACTGGGGTCCATAAACAGTATTAGAATCACATAAACTGGGAATATTAAGGTAGTGCCCCAGTTGTGCCCCCCCAGTCAAAAAAGAAGTCTGGACCAAAATCAACCAGTTTGATCAGTTATATGCATCTTTTTTATTAATGTTACTTTCAAATATTAACTGTTTATATACACATATAACATGTTTATTTTCCTTGTATTGTACAAAACCACCATTGGCTGCCAAACAACTCACAAACAAACATCCTTTAACTGTTATTTCTATAGTTCAGTAGATTAACTGTTATTAAGATTTTAACTTCTTTTTATTTATTTATTTTTTTTACACATTTTTGAATTAACTTTAAAAATCTGATCTGGGAACTTCTTCCACAAACCAAAAATTTTATTTTTTTCAATAACACACACGAAAAGTAGCAAAACAAAACTGTAGAAATAAATTAAAGTAAAACTCATTCAATCAAAACTTTACTTAAAAGTACAAAAGTATTAAAAACAGAATTTATGTAAAGTATTTTAAAGTTAAGGAACCAAAAGTACAGAATGGACCATTTCAGAACAATACGTCTTATATTTTATGTGTTATCATTATTGATGCATTCATGTACATTACACTGATGTTGATGTAAAAATAAACTGCATCATCATTTATTTGTTGGTTATATTATGTTATATAATATTAATCTGAATCTACAAAGTTACTAAAGCTTTCAAATGAATGTATGACTATGTGAACTGAAATGTAGAGGAGTAGAGGTATAATCAGAAAATTAAAAGGAAAGTACAATTACCTAGAAACTGTATTGTTGTTACTTTCCACCACTGTGTTAGTGTTGTTTGCTGAATGTGAGCAAACACAGACCAAGGCTGAGCTAAAATAACAAATGTTGCTCTATATGATATAATGAAAGAACATTAACTGGGGTTAATATTAATATAGTAAGATATTACAGTGTGTATATAGTATGAAACACACAGGATATCTCTACTGGCTGCTTTAAACCACAGAGTGATTCATCTTTCCAACCATAGACGATCATTATCTGCTGTCTGCTTTTAGATAAATCTGTGGCGCCATCTCCTGATAGAAATACTCCATTACCCACAGTGCAATTCAGGTGACCTGACCTCTTATTAAAAATAATTTATACACATACTGTTACACATAAGAAGCCTACAAAAGTATTGGCATCACAAAATATATAATAATATAATATAATATGGTAGCTCATTCTACTAATACATCTAATGTATTACTGAATTATGATTATTGATGCATTAATATGTTCATCACTTTATTCTTTATTTATTTATTTAATTCTAATATTTTTTTTGTTAAATTTATATATTATTGTTTGTTATTTGATTTATTTATATGTTATTATTTGTTTAAATATAGTATTTAACATATATGCTAACTCGATGATATTACATCAAAATGTATTTGTTTATTATATTTTAAAGTAAGAAGTATGTATCAAATAAATGTAGTGGAGTAGAAGTATAAAGTAGCTAAATAGAAATCTTTTTATAGTATTTAGTATTTTTTTATTTAATTTTAATTTAATTTATTTTAATTTTTAAAAGTATCTTATAATTGCACTTCCATAGCAACTTAACAACAGTAATATATTCTTTGACTTTATTAGACTGCAGAATAGCCAAACACACAGAGACATTTAATGTGGGTTAAAATTCCAAATAAGTATTTTAATCTACAGTAACTTCTGAGTTTTTATTTCCAGACTCTCTTCAGCTCCCGAACACTGCAGTAACTCCCCCAGGCCTTTTCCTGAGCTGCTGCGTGTATAATAATATATATTGTTCCAGTCTCAGGCCCCTTTATCTGCATCCATTGTCCAGCGCGGCGCTGCAGCCGGCTCAGGGTAAATACTGAGGGTCAGTTACTGCGGTCCAACCCTCCTCCAACAGGAATCCTGAGCCTGAGAGATTAATGTTTTCATACAGGAGCACAATGAAAACTGAAGGTCAAAGGTCACACGAGGGAAGGAGGGAGTGATATGGAGGTCAAACTAATAACTATTGTTTTATTTTATTGTCTTTTATTGATTGAGGCTCCAGTAGTTAAAGGATTGCCCTTGGTTTACATCCATATGGTTAAATATAAAGTAATTTGCTTCCAGTCTGATCATTCAAAGCGCTCACTCTGTTGGAAAGTTAATCATTTCTTCCTTCTTACTTTCCTCACTCCTCTTCCTTTAATTGCAACTTGGGATCTTGACATTTTTATTATATTATTGGAGGTAAAACTGGCAAACATTTGTGTATTTATTTGTTTATTCAACCGCCTATGGGCCTCGCTTTTGCTGATTTGTGTCAAGAGAGGGCAATGTGTCTCTGTAAATCAGCTGCAGTGGATTCGGACTCAAACCAACAGGTTCAGGACTGTAACTGCAAACGTTCAGTGATGCTGATGGTGGAAATGTTTGAATAAAGACCTTCAAGTTGATTTACAGTGGGTACGGAAAGTATTCAGACCCCTTTAAAATTTTCACTCTTTGTTTCATTGCAGCCATTTGCTAAAATCAAAAAAGTTCATTTTATTTCTCATTAATGTACACTCAGCACCCCATCTTGACAGAAAAAAACAGAAATGTAGAAATTTTTGCAAATTTATTAAAAAAGAAAAACTGAAATATCACATGGTTATAAGTATTTAGACCCTTTGCTGTGACACTCATATTTAACTCACATGCTGTCCATTTCTTCTGATCCTCCTTGAGATGGTCCTGCCCTTCATTGGAGTCTAGCTGTATTTAATTAAACTGATTGGACTTGATTAGGAAAGGCACACACCTGTCTATATAAGACCTTACAGCTCACAGTGCATGTCAGAGCAAATGAGAATCATGAGGTCGAAGGAACTGCCCAAGGAGTTCAGAGACAGAATTGTGGCAAGGTACGGATCTGGCCAAGGTTACAAAAGAATTTCTGCAGCACTCAAGGTTCCTAAGAGCACAGTGGCCTCCATAATCCTTAAATGGAAGAAGTTTGGGACGACCAGAACTCTTCCTAGACCTGGCCGTCCAGCCAAACTGAGCAATCGTGGGAGAAGAGCCTTGGTGAGAGAGGTAAAGAAGAACCCAAAGATCACTGTGGCTGAGCTCCAGAGATGCAGTAGGGAGATGGGAGAAAGTTCCACAAAGTCAACTATCACTGCAGCCCTGCACCAGTCGGGGCTTTATGGCAGAGTGGCCCGACGGAAGCCTCTCCTCAGTGCAAGACATATGAAAGCCCGCATAGAGTTTGCCAAAAAACACATGAAGGACTCCCAGACTATGAGAAATAAGATTCTCTGGTCTGATGAGACCAAGATTGAACTTTTTGGCGTTAATTCTAAGCGGTATGTGTGGAGAAAACCAGGCACTGCTCATCACCTGCCCAATACAATCCCAACAGTGAAACATGGTGGTGGCAGCATCAGGCTATGGGGATGTTTTTCAGCTGCAGGGACAGGACGACTGGTTGCAATTGAAGGAAAGATTAATGCGGCCAAGTACAGAGATATCCTGGAAGAAAACCTCTTCCAGAGTGCTCAGGACCTCAGACTGGGCCGAAGGTTCACCTTCCAACAAGACAATAACCCTAAGCACACAGCTAAAATAACAAAGGAGTGGCTTCGGAACAACTCTGTGACCATTCTTGACTGGACTAGGCCAGAGTCCTGACCTAAACCCAATTGAGCATCTCTGGAGAGACCTGAAAATGGCTGCCCACCAACGTTCACCATCCAACCTGACAGAACTGGAGAGGATCCCCAAGGAAAATCCAGGTGATCCCCAAATCCAGGTGAAAAACTTGTTGCATCATTCCCAAGAAGACTCATGGCTGTAGTAGCTCAAAAGGGTGCTTCTACTCAATACTGAGCAAAGGGTCTGAATACTTATGACCATGTGATATTTCAGTTTTTCTTTTTTTAATAAATCTGCAAAAATTTCTACATTTCTGTTTTTTTCTGTCAAGATGGGGTGCTGAGTGTACATTAATGAGAAATAAAATTAACTTTTTTGATTTTAGCAAATGGCTGCAATGAAACAAAGAGTGAAAATTTTAAAGGGGTCTGAATACTTTCTGTACCCACTGTATTATAGCTAACAACAGTTCTGTTAGAGGATGGAGATTCCAGTTATTTGGTGGAAAGATATGAAAGTTAACAGAGTTTCCCAAAACGGACGTATTCGATAACTGTTGTTTTTGTTGTTAGCTATGATATATGTCTGATATAGGTTCCCAATCTGGGGTCATGAAGCTCACTAGGGGTCGCCAAAGTTTCACTGGGGGTCGCCTTATTTTAAGGGGTGTAAGAAAACTTAAAAATATGAAGGCCTGTGTCGACCTTAAACTCAGCATTTCATCTAATTCTGTGAACAGAACTCAATTAAACTGTTGGCTTCGATATGATTGTTACAGTACAGACAAATAATTGTATAAGTTCTTAAAACAATCCGAAAACTCAACTCTGATTTAATATTTACAGGAAATAATCATTGTTTCACACAAACTTCCTGTAGTTGTTGTGTTATTGGGTTCATTGTAGAGTTTATCAGTTCTGTACTCTTAACATTCATAAAATAGGTCAGTTAATCAGGGGTTGTCAGTTTACTCACTGATGGAAAAGAGGTCTCTTAAACACATTAGATAAGAAAATAAATAGAAAAAATACAAGATATCAAGAAAAACATAGAATTAAGGTTGTATGTACAAACTATATACAGTAAGTTAGAATATAATATTGCACCGGTTACAGAAGGAGGTAGTGGCATATTGTAGAAATACATTTAAAATATATATTATACAGCAATGATTTAACAGGGCTATTAAAAGGTCTAAAGAGTAAAGTGCATGTAAGAAAACATTTATATATATTTAAATATATGTATGTAAGGATCAGCAGTACTGCTCATTAACACAGATAGTGTTCCTAAAAACTGAAACATCAAAGCTTTCACTTTCTACAGCATGAAGAAGTTTAAATTTCTTCTTTTTTTCAATCATTCAAACACTTTTTATCTCCATCTCTGGAATAAGTCACAGATCTGAGGGAGCCCCCATCCACCTTTTATAATGCTGCCTTCAGGTTCTGTCAGACATATCAGTTGTTTACATGGCAAGTCCAGTGAGCACATGGGGATGAGTGATGCTGGGATTTTATATTCACTTGATTATACAGTAATACACAATGGACCTTTAAGTTATGGGTATAAGCCTATTTACTGAGACTATATATTGGTGTTATTATAGTATTGTTGTCCTATGGGCCAGACTGTAATCATTATATAGCACAAATGCGTGAAACAACTAAAGGAAAGTTAGCCTACAACCATAACTGGCCCCTGAGTCTTGTTTCAATGTGCAGATGGTTGTGATGTGTATTCGTGTGTTTCACATTAGCTTCCAGTCTTGCATGAAGTGTGGCACACAAGTTGGGCGAGCTCCTGGTTGCTGAAGGGTGGAGGCAGCGTGATCCACCCAGACGCAGGGAGGACGTGATCAGTTATAAAAGCATTATTATCAGACTACAATAATATGTTCATGAGAGAAATTACCAAACGAGTTAAAGTCTCTTGGTTAAAATACAGTTATAGTATCATCAATAAACCCCACGAAGCTCTAATGTTTCTTTTGCTTGTTTATATTTATTTGGAGCATGTAAAAGAAAAAAGAAAACAAACCTCATATGCAAACTCGATGAAAAAACCCTCATAAACAACACAAAATTAAATCGTGCATGTTTGAAAAGGAGGTTGAGCAAGTACACTCGTATTTAGTCATACTCCTGCGCAACTGTACCTCTGCATACATTTCTATATACACATACACCAACCCTACATCTATGTTGTTTTTAAATAATTGTCCAACTGCTATATATATATATATATATATATATATATATATATAAATATATATATATATATACACAGTTTCAATAAACTCAAAAACGCCTTCCTAATTCATGTACCTCGGAATTTCCCGCTGTTCCCACAGCGCCTGAAAGCAGCATCAACATACTCTTATGCGATTGGAGGAGAACAGGGGAAGGGGCGTGGCCAGCGCCATGGTAACTGTACACCCCGCCCCACGCGCTGCGCCGCTCGGCTCGTGCCCTCCGCTGCTTGCCTGTAAACTTTCCGCCGCGAGCTCAGTCAGTTAGTGAGCGGCGGACCGTTGGTACCGTTGGACCGTTGGACCGTTGGTACCGTTGGACCGTTGGTACCGTGTCTGTCTCTCTGTCTGCGGTAACGGAAACCCCTCCGTGCTCCGGTATGAGCTAGTCATGATCTGATTAACGGGGCTTTTAATTCGGTAGTTTGGAGAAGCGACATTTTAAAATTAAATTAAAAAAAAAAAAAAAAAAAAAGCTCGGAGGAATGGAGGCTGTGAGTAAGTGGACGCCGCAACAAGTGGTGGACTGGATGAGAGGTAAGGCTGTGTGTGTGTGTGTGTGTGTGTGTGTGTGTGTGTGGGGGGGGGGGGCTAACGGTCCTGTGTTTGGTGTTTATGGTGTTTATGGTGTTTATGGTGAGCTGTTAAAGCCTTTAGGAGTAACGTTAAATAAAGGATAATTCAGTACGTTCACCGCATCATGCTTGCTCTAAAGCTGCAAATTATTATAATATTATTACATTTATAGGTGCTATTTATTATATTATTATAGTTATAGGTGCTGTTTATTATATTATTATAGTTATAGGTGCTATTTATTATATTATTATAGTTCTAGGTGCTGTTTATTATATTATTATAGTTCTAGGTGCTGTTTATTATATTATTATAGTTATTAGGTGCAAATTAAAGCACTAATTAGTCGAAAGTTATAGTTGTATATTGTATATTTATACATGGATCATTCTGTGTTAACTTTACAGAAATATTACAGCAGTTTATTCATATTTTCAACAACATTTTACACCTACTTGGACCTTAACTTTGCCAATATTTCTTTTTTTAATTAATAGAATATATAATGTAGGGCTTGTGCAATTAATTGAAATATTACTGAAAAGGGCAATGTGTAAATCTCAGATAGCAGTTTTTTAATAAAGGTAAACTTATTCTCCAGATTTAAGAAAATGAAGTAATGTTTAGGTTTTTTACATTACTGCGACGTCACATAGTTAAAAAGTTGTACTTAAAAGAAGCAGTTTGATTTTAAAGCAGGTTGTGTTTTGGATTTTGGTGGTGTGACCTGATTTATGTTCCATATTTACAACTTATCATGTTATTTAAACATACAACATTATGCCTGGCTGTCACAATATCAGCTTATCCTGTCATATGTGACCTTGATATTGTCCCTTGTGTTTACATGCGTGTTTGTTTACATCAAAATGAGGCCATGCTTTTTAGCCAACTTGATGCCAGAATAAACAGCAGGGATTTCCCTCCCATCACAAGGCCTGGGCATAGAGTTTTATTTATTTAGGATATTTTAATATTTTCCAATTCCAATTTCTATGATAATAATAAGAATAATAATAATAATATCATTAATCTGGGATAATATATCATCCAACAAAAGCAGCTATCGTGACTATTTCCTTCGCTTCCCATTGGTTGCATGTTCTTTGGCAACAGCTACACATGTAACCGAAGTTACTGTGTGCAATGGTGGTCCACATTAATTAGGTGTGTGTGTGTGTGTGTGTGTGTGTGTGTGTGTGTGTGTGTGTGTATTGGCTCAGTAACAGGCTGCAGGCTGTTACCTTGTTTACCTTTTTTTACTGACTGTCATATTTCTGCCCTCAATTCAGTTTGCACAGATGATGAGAACAAAAACTTTACACACACACACACACACACACACACACACACACACACACACACACACACACACACACCTATTCATTACAGTGTGCAATTAAGCCATAAACAGGCCTGACCAGCAAGTGACAGTAATTCTGGTTTGATAAAGACGTGTTTTAATTAGCAGGAGGTTTGGACAAGCAGCGGCAGGAGCAGAATCATTTCTGTTGCAGTGTTTGTCTTTGATGTTATAATCAGTGTTTTTATTTATTTTAATATTTCAGATTTTTGCCTTTATGATCACATTTAGACCTGTTGCCGTTTCTTGATGCTAACAAAGATGTCAGGCCACACTTAGACTCATGTCACTGAGATACTCAAGGGTCAGTCCCATCTTGTTACAGGCACTCAGGTATTTTTTCTAATTATATCAAACCTAAAGAAAATCTTTTATGTTTAATCTTGTCTCTTCGGTCCATTTGTGTTGAATTTACTGTTGTGAGAAAGTGAGCAGCTTGTCCTCCGACAGCACGCACACACACACACACACACACACACACACACACACACACACACGTCATTTAGCGGCAGAGACAATGCAGAGCTGAGTGTTGCGGGCGGTCAGTAAAGACCCAGACAATCCCAGCTCTTGACAAAGGTGGGCCTCCCGCCGTGTGCAGGGTCAGGAGGTCACCGAGACTCTTTACCGTGGCGGCGGTGCGATTGAACCACATCTGAATATCAGACTTTTGTTCTGCATGAAAGGAGTGAGAAACACACACGGGGGGGGGGCAATCACATTACCGGGATGGCTCAATTAAGCTGGTTCTCTGCAGCAGGACGGTGTTTGTGGGATTGAGTGAAAACAACCTACAGTGTGTGTGTGTGTGTGTGTTCCTGGTAATGAAGGGACATCAGTGTGTGGCTCAGGAGTGTGTTTTTGATAGTGTTTGGACAATGGTGGAGCTCTGTGGTGAAATATTTAAACTACTTGTTTTGTCAACTACTATGCAAATAATTAACCCATTATCAAAATGACATTCAGCTCTACATGTTAGCAGGATCTGTCCATTGTTTGCTTTGGTCCTTTCATGGGATTCGAAGACGATAAGACTTTTAAAGAGTGAATTATATCCACGCAGTCGAATTGCGTTCATTTTACATTACATTACGTTATAGCACTCTGCTGTTGTGGCTACGCATAACATTATGAGAGCAGCAGACAACTATCTGCTATATAAAGACATGGTGGAGTCAACGTCACACTCCCTTTTGTCTGTGTTGTTATCGCAGCCTGTCTGTAATTTGTTTACGAAGCCCGGCTGGCCGTGTGTGCGTTTTTAGTGCGTTTGAGTGAGTTTTTTTTGTCTTCTGCCCACTATGGAGTCTGGTGGTGGGTGATAGCGATGTTACTGGTTAATCAAGAGGTCTGTCGCTGTAGGAATCATTTCCATAATGTAGTCAGACACTTAATAACGTAATAATAACATAACATAATAACAATATGAGTCTGTCAGTGGCAAAATTTGACAGGCACACTTGATGTTGATCTATTGTAGCCTGTTTCACGGCTATTTTCTCTTCTATATCTATGAATTAAAGGTTTATTTTGACCAAACCAGTGATTGTGATTGTTGGAATAGACTAACACAGGCAGTTTTTGTGAGGTTTATTTATTTCAGTCCAGTTTTAAATGTGTTTTAAGTGTGCTAAAATGACTGGTTTTGTTAATGGAGTCTGGTTTCGTACACAGCCTTCAAGTTAAAATGGAAGTTATACATGTTTTCTGCGTGCTAAGATAGAAAGCGACTTAAAATAACATCATGTGATTCCTAAAGTGATGAGCAGACTTCAGGTCTTCAGGTTACACTTTGATTTTATTTCTTTGTCTCAGAAACTAAATTTGTCACAGATCCAGATCCTGCTGTGAATTGACAGTATAACAACAGAGCAGACTGCTGCCTTCCGACTATAGGCGGTCAGGGTGTGTGTGTGTGTGTGTGTGTGTGTGTGTGTGTGTGTGTGTGTGTGTGTGTGTGTGGGTGTTTACTCACATGATCCGACTCAAACAACAGGTTCTTTTCATTGGAGGTTCAGTCGGCCTCGTTAAAACCCTGATGTTTGATCTGAAGTTGCCACAGGCCGGTTGACCACAAAAACCTGAAACACTTCTTCCAGACTGGAGCTAAAAATACATTCCTGGAATAATCCTGGAATATCATAGAAGATGAAGCTGTATTCCTGCAGAGGGATAGTCAGGGAATTTGATGAATTCTTTAGGGAAAGTCAAAGAGTATGGCTTTTTTTTTCATGCATTATTTATACTGTATTTTCATCTGCTATCACTAATTTGTATCTACAGTTAATCCTCATGAATATTATCCCTAGTTATGGAAAGTTTTGGAGCAGTTTATAAGAACGGTTTTCATATTCCAGGATGTCTGTATGTCCTGGAAAAGTCATCTGATGACCAAACCAGTGCCGTGGTCAGTAGTTATTCAATCTTGCAGGGACTAGAATATTTATTATTGCAAAATTAAGGTCTGAAAATTTGAATATTTCAAGGCTGGTGCCAGTTTTAGTTAGAGGAGAAACATATTTTTCTGTTAAAACCTTTAGCTTAAAAGCCCTTGACACATTTCAGTCCGTTCCCTAATAAGTTTAACCATCTGAACCAAGGCAAGAAGCCCACTGCGTAGCCCTCAGATCAGTGAGAGTCTCTCTGTGTTAGTGGAGCAGACTGATCAGACAGCTGTAGCTCAGAGTTAAACACATACATCTCAGGGATTGAGCTCAGCGTGTTCAGACAAATCCACATACTTCTCCGCTCGTCTGGCAGGTGCAGTCACACATCGCAGCGTAAATGACGACAGGCCGGTTGCGAGTTGTCAGGAGGCTCAATCAAAATACGATGACACAACCAGCTCACTTAATGAAGGGGTGTGTAGAAACAGAGCCGAGCAACAAGGAAATAGATGGGAAGAATTTAACGGCCTTCTGCAACAACACTGAGCAGGAAGTTCTCAACATTATTGAGTTTTATTGTGTAGAAGTTGAGTGGATGCACAGAGGGTTGGAGAGATACATGTTGTGATAGACAGTAAGAGCACATAAAGTACAGTTGGTATAAATAAACCAGGTATGGCTTATTATTGTTATTATTGGTTAATATTATCTTACTACATATAGGGCGTGTGCTGTAGGTCCGGAGATAAATAACGTTCACCAAAATGTTTGTTTAAATGTTATGTATGTACGTTAGAAAACTAATATTAGTCAGATTGTTATCAGATTTGTCTCAAAATCCAGTGTTAATCAGACCGAATTATATCACAAAACAGCTTAGATATTGAGAGTCGAAGCTCATTCTTGACCTTGAAAATACCAAACTCCATTTGCTATTTGATGAAAAAGCTATTGTTGTCCTTATTGTTGTCAATATTTACCAAGCCCTAAATTCCAAGTACACAATTTCCTACATTTCCCAGTTAATATTATTGCTTGTGCTTATGTGATTTTATCTGTTGCTTATGTGATTTTTGTCTGTGTTTATGTGCTCTGTGTTTATGTGACGTTATCTGTGTTTATGGTGCTTTCTGTTTGTGCTTCTGGATGTTTCCTTTGAATGTTTCTGATATTCCATCAACCTGCAGAGGAAAATTAGCCTGCGTGGCTCA